ATATATATATATATGTACAAATAGACAAACATAATTTCTGATTATGCGCGTGTGTGTAATTATTCAAAATTATTCTTTGCAAATAGTTTTATCATTATTTTAAATGTTTATCATTTAGGTTATCAATTTGCGGGCCCTAGAACATGGTTAGAAAAGAGATTGAAGCGAGGTGACGTTGGGGTGAACCCTCTTGATGCTGCTTGCCGCAATCACGACATCATTTATAGTAAATACAAGAATCTCGACTTTCATAAAGCGGATAAGGTATTATAATGGACCACCGTTGGAACTGCAACGATACTTTAAAGAATGCACAACTATAGTATATATCAAAATTTCAACGAGATAAATTGTGGTCACTTGTGTTTGAAATTTTTAATGGAACAGCAACAATGTGGCAACAACGGTGATGTTAATCAGCGTGGGATCTGAATTGCAATGCATGTTCAATCCACCCATTGATGTCGACAAAAAATGTAAAATTGGGCTACTGAGCTTGCATACGTGGAACACTATACCGAATATTGACGAGGATTGTAACAAATTCATTTTCTGCACTGTTGACGAGCCAATTATGGCGAAACACTACCGACGAGATCGTATGAATTTGACAATCTACAGAAACGAATCACGGACAAGTACAACGGAGAAAAGTACAAGTACAGTATGCAAAAACAATTAGATTTTGATAATCCATTGTTGCCAACGGTTGGTTCACTCAAAGAAAACAGCAGTGAAATCGGTGACAAAATGTTGGGTGATCGAAACGTTATTTCTTTTACAGCTGATCGCAATATTATGCGAAGCATAATCAAATGCAATCACTCCATAGATATTACATACCCGCAATCAATCAAGGAGGAGTAACAGAAGATTTTCGGGTAAGAATAGGAGTGCACCAAGGTTCTGCTTTAAGCCCTTACTTATTTTTTATAGTGATGGATGAAATTACTAGGAAAATACAAGAAAAGGTGCCGTGGTGCATGTTGTTTGCTAAGGATATAGTGTTAATAGGAGAAAATAGAGAGGAAATTAATGAATGGCTATAGGTATGGAGATAAGCTCTTGAAGAAAAGGGTTTAAGAATAAGTAGAAGTAGACAGTAGACAGATTATATAGAGTACGAGTTTGACAAAGGAGAACACAAGGTAGGTGAAATAAGGAGATCAGTGACAATAGGCGAGGGCATAATAGGAGAGTTGGAAAGTTTTAAGTATTTAAGATCAGTTGTGCAAAAGAGCGGTGGTATTGACGAGGATTAAAGAACATGATTAGTACGGATGGTTGAGGTAGAGAGAAGCGTCTGGTGTCTTGTAAGATAAAAGAATTCCAATGAGGCTGAAAGGTAAATTCTACAAGACTGTAGTGAGACCTGTCATGATGTATAGTTCAGAGTGTTGAGTGATTGACAAGACAGTAGAGCAGAGAATGAGTTTAGCAGAGATGAGAATGCTTAGATGGATGAGTGGTTTGACTAGAGAAGATAGGATAAGGAATGAACACATAAGAGGAATTATAGGTGAGTATAGTAGCGTCAATCGTAGATAAGATGAGAAAAAATAGACTTAGATGGTTTGATGTTATCAGGAGAGAGAAATCGTAAGCTGTAAGAACAGTATAGAAATGAATATTGAAGGAAGAAGAGATAGAGGAAGACCAAAAAAGAGATGGAGAGATGTTATTGAATGCTATGTGAGAACAGCTGATGTGAGCGTTGAAGATGTGGAAGATCGTGTCAAGTGGAAGTTTAGGATAAGGGTGGCCGACCCCAAGTGATTAGGATTAAGGCTAGGAAAAAGAAGAAGACATTATAACTTTTCTTAGAAATAGTTTAAATGTCAAATTATATAATTAAATTTATGTAAGATTTTATTAAAATTTCAACAAACAAATAAATGTTTATATTATTAAATAATCAAAGTAATAAAAATGAGTGGTTAAAAAAAAGATAATTATTGTGATATCTTACGTTACTACGGTAAAAAATACACAATTAAAACACTATTCAAATAGTTAATTTTATTATAATCTAACAGAAAGATAGAAAAAAACATTTTAACTTAACTCTTATAAATTTTATCAAATAGTAAAATCGTTTAAAATTTACACAAATATCATCACTTATTTAAGTAGGTTGTGTTCACCAGGAACAAGTCATAAATTATTATCATTACAGGTAAGTCAAACAAAAAAAAATTTATTTATCTAAATTAAATTAATCATTATTCGTAAATTTTTGCTTATGGTTTACAAAGAACAATTAATGAATCAGTTTTATTTAACAACTATGGATTAAAACAAATTATGTCACTTTATAATCATTATTTGAAACGAAAGAACAGCTTTTTTCTAGATAAAACTAAATATTTCGTGATAATGAGTCGAGATTTTCTGAAAATATAATGAGATTCAATAATTAACTTCTTTTAACAAATTTAATAGATAGTTTCTAGATTTAGGGAAAATATTTGCTAAATAAATGTATAAAATTAAAATTAAATTAGATAACATTACTAGATTACATTATCAACACCAACACTGTATGAATACAACTGCATTTTTAACTAAAATTTTTTATTTACATAACTTTCAAAAATTGAAGTAAGTAGCTTTTTAAACAAAGCAGAAAATTAAATTGAATACTAATGTACATATTATTAATTTTTCATAATTAAACTACTATTACAACACAAAATAAAATGACTATTGAATATAATTTCAAATTTCTCAACAATCGTGATATATATATATATATTTTAATTAACAATTTAAAATATTGTCGTTATATGCTCAATGCTTTGCATTATGCGTCTTACATTTATCAATAAAAAATTTATAATCTTTATTTTATATTACTTGTAAACAAACAAATAATTTATCTGTCATAACATTTACACTGTTCAACACAATTTCTTATTATTTATAAATATATATGTCAATTAATCAATTGTTAAAATTGCTATCTCAATATAATAATCATGTAATGTATAATTAAATATAATAAACTAANATAATCATGTAATGTATAATTAAATATAATAAACTAAAAAGATAACTAAAAGCGCTGACAACAATATCGCTGGATTGGTGTTACTATCATTTTACTATAAAAAGCACTGAAATCCTTTCAGAGGGAGAGAGAGTGACGAGAGTTCGCTTTCACCGAATTCAAATAAGAAAACAATTGTTAGTCACAACCCCATGTTGTTGTCGGCTATTCTTTTTTATGCGTCTTGATTATATACATTCGAAAAGAATTTGTTTTAATTTTCTATTTTTGTGACAAAGTACGAATCGAACACTTATAAGTGTATATATACATATCGAAATATTTATCGAATCATCTCACAGCAATTTGCAAGAATAAAAGAAGTAAGTAAATTTATGTTATCCCAATTATTTTAAGTTAATAAGTTTGAGTAAAGAATAACAAAGCAATAGATCATTTATTAAATTAATAAATCTTAGTGTTAATTTTGATTGGTCAGTTAAAATATTATACATATTCACGTTATATGGTATTCGTGAACTGGCTCCGCCGTTTCGTTGTCTCTTAGGACATTAAAAACTAACCAGACAAAAGTTTATTACACCTCAATTAAAGGTACTGCGTTATTATTTTTATATCTAGTTATCTTTGTCGTTCTAAACCCTCGAACCATACGACCCCAATAGATACATGACATCAGGGTCTCACCATATGTAGCCCAATCCCAAAATTTCTTTATTTTTACTTTTTAATTTTTGTTATTTGAATTATAACAATATTTAGTTAGTATAAACGCTTTGTTATAAGTATATTAAATAGATTTTGTTACCAAAGTATCTTATCAGTGACAGTATACATGAGCTGTGTGATTGAAATAACTCGGAGTAAAGGAATTTAAAACCTAGCTGTCTCTCATGTGAATTATAAAATAATAAAACAAAAATCAAGTCAACAATAGTTTTCTTTATCTCAATCCAATGGTAAACCGGATACCGGAGCCAAGTGATACGATTTACGTCGCAATAATATATTCGACACTGATTAAGATAGTAAGGACCCGTGTCATTTATTATTAATGAACAACAGCAAATTATTTTAGGGAGAAAATGAATATCTACAAAAAGGTAAAAAAAATAATTGCATTAATAGAAGTAGTAGTTAACTATACGACCAACCGTTATGTAAAACTAATTGATAACTGCAATAGCATATTAAAAAAAGTCGATGTTGCGGCGTACGTTATCGTATAGTTTTTTTTTCTATTATTATTATTGTGATAAGCAGACGATCGATTTTCTGATGATCAGCGAAGAAACACCAGTCTCCAAATAAATGCCTCACTATGCACATACAGCAAAATTTCGTTTTTATTAATTTGTAGTTAAGCGATCTAAGTAGCCTTCTTCTTGTTAAAAGAAAAATACAGTCCACATTAGCAACAGTCGAAGAGCAAAAGCAATATTTACTACAAGTAAAAATGAAAATGTTTATAATTTTCCATTATTAACTAAAATAATTGATAATATTTATTTATTTATTTATTTATTGCAGACCATACAATACTATTGAAACAAGTACCCTAATTATACTCATAGTACGTTAAATAAACAGTTTTGATCCATCATATATAAATCGTTAGTGTTATAAAAACTGCAGAACTATAAATCTAACTATAATTTTACATATAACTAAGATTTTTGAAAATTAAATACTATATATTTTTTATACGAAGTATTTTGTTGTAAAATGATTATTTCAATCGAGAATTTTAGAAAAAAAGATTTTTCATTTTATATTTTTAAGCAAGTAAAACGTAATTTCAGAAAATTTTTGTAATGAATTTTTTTTTAAAAATAATATCAAAATCTATAATATATATTCTATACATTTAACGCTAAATAATTTAGTTTAAGAAATAATTACTCTGGGACATTTGAATTTTTTAAAGCTGTTTTTCAATCATAGCTTTTATGTATCACAGCCCAACTTTTTTTCTTGTTTTACAAAAAAATGTAAAAAATTAAAATAAGTTTCTGTACAACAATTCCTTAATTTTTTTTTTAATTTTCATACAAAAATCGTACTTTTTTCTTTAACTTTAATGTTCGTTTTCACTAATAAGATTTCATTTTAATTTCATAGGTCAAGTTTCTCTTTCAAAATAAAGTATATCGCATAAGCTTTAATTTAAGATATATAAAGGTATTATACATAAAGTTAAGTTAGAATAGCTCTATTTTCTACATGTGAGTTTAAAATTTTAAACATTGTATAAAGGAAAATTATTCAATTTAAAAAATAGACTGAAAGAGGTATATTTAATTTAATTTAATTTTATTGATCCATATATCTTTCAAAAAGTTAAAAATATAAAATCGATAATTTTAACAATAAAATATTATATTTTTAAATATGATAGCCATTTTCACCACGAAGTTCAGAAGTTAAATTTTTTTCATTAAAATTAATGTATATTATATAAACTTTTATATATTATATAAATATGTAAAATTGTTAGTATTTCCGGAATATTTTCATAAATTAAGTAGATAAAGTTAAAATTTTGTGTAAATATTACCATTTTGAAACCCTTTCTGTTGCCAAATAAACGTCCAAATTGACTAATTAAATTAAATTAACTAAATAATACATTGAGTGAGTATGTAGCACGGGCGGAGCAAGTATTATAAATTTACGCTACGAAATGAACCCACCCGCGCTACATAACTACTCTATTTAGATATTAATAGAAAATATGTTATAAAATATATTAATATTTAAAAATATTAATAAGTTCTTTTTGTATTTATTCTTGTTATTTATTCTAAAAATCAAAATAATCTTGTCAGACACAAATTTTTCATTAAATATTCTATACGAGTAAAAAATAAAAAATGTAATAATAGAAAATCTACCATATAAAATAAACTGACTCTTAACAAATTATTTCATTATAATATTTTTTATTCTTATTAAAATTTCCAAATAATTAAAAAAATATGATTTTTATAACTATTTTGTCTATTTTACTATTTAACGTCACATTAATAAAATCTGATAACAGACCAAAACATTGCAATTATTCTAGATACTTGTTGAACTATTTTAAACTTGGTGAACAATATTTGTTTCAAATGTATAAAAATATTGAAATTTATACCGAAGAAGATTTAAAAAAATATGGACAAGCTATTCAAACTCATGGCGATGTTGTATTATTAATGATTCAAGATCTTCTGACAATTGATGGATATCATTTTCCTTATGATTTAATGACGGTAAATTTATATTTAAACAATAATTCTGGTTCGATAAATGTAATGTATAGATATGAGACAGGTAATAATATTGAATATAACAAAGTTTTTCTTGGTGTAAAAGGTTTAAGATTACAAAATTATTCTATGATGACCCAGTTAGAACGTTTTATTGATAATTATTGTTCTAATGTACTATTATCAGAATTTGTCAATTATCCTAATGAGGACATGTCTAGTCAATTAAATATTGATGAATTAGACTTTGTTACAAAATATCTAAAAGGAAAAATTATTAAAGAAATAATTCCCGAAATAGTTGAAATAAACAACATAACAAGATTTCACCCTGAAAATGTGTTATTTTATAATATAATGTTAAATCAGTCAGATAAAAATTTAATATATGGTACTGAATTAAGACAACATCAAGAATTTGTTAATGGTAAACCAAAAAATATTTTAGACCTTCTTCGATTTGTTCCTCTTGATTTGCAGTGTGCTGACAAAACTAACTTGACTATACATGATATATTTCGTTTTGTGAAGTATCAATATTTATTCATTGACATGAGAGTATTCCAAAAACTTTTAATTGGTGCAACTTTTCATCCTATCGGAATGCTTATAGCTAATTTCGTATATTTAGTATCTGAAATGATTAAAAATGATATAATCCTCCAAGATTACAAGTCTTTAAAATGTTTGTGTAAACGAATTAAAGAGATTCTACAATCATATATTACTTTACACATTTTTAGGGAACCCGCAAATATGTTTCTTATATCTATTCTTAATCATTTATATGTAATTTTATATTGGTTTCGTGGCACACGTCCAATAGAAAACGATTTACCAGATGTAATCATAAAAAAATTAAAAGATTTTATGGATAATATTATGATAAAGTTCAATATAGACTCAGAAACAAATGTTACGGAACAAAATCTAATGGAGATATATGGAATCATATTAGAAAATACTGATCAAGTTGATTTATATGTTAAAAAACTCGAAAACTATGCAGATTCATTTCATTTGATTTATGACATACAGGCAGTTCAAAGAATAAACATTAAAGACTTTAAATTCTTTCTAACACCAGATTTAATAGGTAAGTTTTAATATAGTAAATACAGTACGTTGCATTCATTTTTGAACAATTGTTAGATTCTTAGTCTTTAATTTTAACATAAACAATCTTTTTTTATTGTAATATTTATATAAAATATATTTTTAAACATTTTAAAATATACATTTTAAGAAAAAATATGATAATTAAATTTCTTATTGATGCTTTAGTAAAAATATCTAGAGTATATTAAAGTTTTTATTAAATTATAAGCTTATAAACACTATATTTTTTTGGTAAAAATTCAAGTTAGGGTAAAATATAGAAGAACAATATTACTTTTAAAATTTTTAAATACTCTAGATTATAACATTGATAAGAATTTTTGGTATCAAAAATGTGAATGTTTTTCTTCACATTTATTGTACGAAGTAGCTAATAGATTTTTAAAACATTTTTTATTAATTTCTAAAATTTTATATCTTTACATAAATTTTAAATATATTATGACTATTAGACTGAAATTTTTACAGTTTATCAGAAATTAAATTAACATAAATATTTACTTATATGTTTTACTAAAAATATTAAAGTATTTTAAATAGTTCTTCAGTTAACATGAATATAAAAAACCTAGCACAGTGGAGTCATGAAACATGAAATATTTTAATACTGAAAACTGCCATAACTTTTTGAAAAATAAATAAATAATAATAATTTTTTTTATATTGAAATCTTAGATGTTTCGCTTTCATTTGATAACATTTTTTGAAAATCTGACTCAAAACCTGCCCACTGGGGGGATTCAAAATAGCAATTTTTGCACACAAGTAAAGCTTTTTCAATTAAATTTTTGAAAATATTCCGGAATATTGACACTTTTATTTAATCTTAAATTAGAGCTTATATTATGTACTTTACTATGAAAAAAGAAAATTCGCAATATAGATTCTTATATATATCTTCTTGGTAAAAATAGCTACTGTATTCAAAAATATACTATTTTTGTGCTAAAATTCTAGGTTTTGTATTTTATTTTATTTTATTTTATAATACTTTACAAGGGGTAATACATCGACTTTCATAAATATTACATAATTTAATTGACATAAAATAAATTTCATAAGACATAAGAAGTTAAACATATTTAACTTATTTTTTTACTTTTTTAAAGTCGAAAATGAAACTTTAAATTTTAAATTAGCTTAAATTGTCAATTTTATTTAACAACGAAAGTTACTGAATCGGTACCACTTGTGTCTTTCACGGTTAGGGTTCGACGTTCAAATCCACCTGTGACAATTTATATTTTCATTTCTTTTGTGTTAGAAAAAATATGTTCACATCCTTTGATTTAAATTCAATAACTTCAATAAATATCAAGGTTCGATCCCATCACTGTAGTCCTCCCTCGTAAGAAGAAATTTCTTATTTATATTCAAATTATTTTACTAAGCGTTTTTTTTTTTTTTGAGGCTGTCATTTATTTTCTCTGCTCTCACTTGACTAATTTATTTGAACGATACATTAAATGATCACATATAGTATCTAGTTAAAGATATATTATCCTCATAAATTGAAAAAAAATCCCATAATGTAATAAAAAGTGGCATAACCAGCTTTATCCAAGTACAAATAATTAAAATCATTCATTTCTAATATTTTTAAAGTATTTATTCTCGAATGAGATTTGATATGATAAATGATTCAACTGCAAAAGTAAACAATTTTACTTTGTAATTTGATAATTTTTTAACTCTATTTGTGTTTTTATTACCATTCTATAATAAAACAAATTTTTTAGTAATATGTTGTTATATAAATAATTTCTAAAAAAAATTATTAGCTTCGATGCGAAGCTGAGAAGGTATTAATTTTACTATGATGTGTTTTTTTATTTTTTTTTTTGTGTCTGTGAACGCTCAATCTCAGCTCTCGCTGGACCGATTTTGATGAACAATATGTCAAAAGATCACAAATCGTATCTAGTCGAAGACATTACCCTCAAAAATTGAAAAAAATTCCCTCGTTCCCCGTAAACGGGGGAAATCCCCCAAAAAATTACAAATTTAAAAATCGCTAA